TCTTCAAACAGGTGTAGTGTCTGATATGTGGAAGATGGCTAATGTAATTCCCATTTTTAAAACAGGGGACAAGTCGTTACCGTCAAATTACCGCCCAATAAGCCTGACCTCAATTGTAGGCAAATTACTAGAGTCAATTATAGCTGAGATTATAAGAAGCCATCTCGATAAGCATAGCTTGATTAATGATACTCAGCATGGATTCACAAGAGGCCGGTCTTGTCTAACTAATTTATTAACTTTCTTCAGTAAAGCTTTTGAGGCTGTTGACCACGATAAAGAATTTTATATTATTTACTTAGATTTTAATAAGGCTTTTGATAGAGTTCCGCACCATAGACTGTTAAAGAAAGTGGCAGCTCATGGCATTGGGGGAAAAGTGCTCTCGTGGACCGAGTCATGGCTCACTGACAGGAAGCAGTGTGTGTCCATAAATGGGGTTAAATCCGAGTAAGGATCTGTAACAAGTGGCGTTCCACAGGGATCAGTCTTGGGCCCGTTGTTGTTTATAATATATATCAATGATCTTGATGAGGGAATTACTAGTGATATGAGCAAATTCACCGATGACACAAAGATAGGTAGGATAATTTATTCAAACATAGATGTTATGGAACTTCAGGAGGATTTAAACAAACTCTATTCTTGGTCAGAAAAGTGGCAGATGCAGTTCAATGTAGATAAATGCAAGGTTCTGAAGCTTGGGAGTGCCCATAACCCTAGTACTTATAAGTTAAATGATGTAGAACTTTTTTTTTTTTTTTTTTTTTCTCAACAAGTTGGTCGTCTTCCAACGAGGCAGGGTGACCCAAAAAAGAAAGAAAATCCCCAAAAAGAAAATACTTTCATCATCATTCAACACTTTCACCACACTCACACATTATCACTGCTTTTGCAGAGGTGTTCAGAATACAACAGTTTAGAAGCATATACGTATAAAGATACACAACATATCCCTCCAAACTGCCAATATCAATATGTAGAATATGTAGAATATAGAATATGCCAATATGTAGAACTTAGCCATACAGATTGCAAAAAGGACTTGGGGTTTATGGTGAGCAGCAACCTTAAACCAAGACAGCAATGCCTAAGCGTACGTAATAAGGCAAATAGATTACTGGGATTTATATCAAGAAGTGTAAGCAACAGAAGTCCAGAGGTCATACTGCAGCTTTATACATCATTAGTAAGGCCTCACCTAGATTATGCAGCTCAGTTCTGGTCTCCATATTACAGAATGGACATAAATTCGTTAGAAAACATTCAGCTTAGGATGACTAAATTAATACATAGCATTAGAAATCTTCCTTATGAGGAAAGATTGAAGACTCTTAAGTTACATTCACTTGTTAGACGAAGAATGAGGGGAGACCTGATCGAAGTGTATAAGTGGAAGATAGGTATTAATAAAGGGGATATTAACAAGGTCTTGAGGATGTCTCTCCAAGAGAGAACCCGCAGTAATGGATTTAAATTAGATAAGTTTAGATTTAGAAAGGACATAGGAAAGTATTGGTTTGGAAATAGGGTAGCAGATGAGTGAAACAGTCTACCTAGTTGGGTTATTGAGGCTAGGACTTTGGGTAGTTTCAAATCTAGGTTGGATAAGTACATGAGTGGGAGGGGTTGGATTTGAGTGGGACTTTCACATCAGAGCTTATTTCTTGGGTGGCATTGAAAATTGGGTTGGGCAAATGTTTTGTTAGTGGGCTAAATTGTAAAGGACCTGCCTAGTATGGGCCAGCAGGCCTCCTGCAGTGTTCCTCCTTTCTTATGTTCTTATGAAGATGAAGAAGATGAAGAAGATGAAGATGAAGACGAAGAAGATGAAGAAGATGAAGAAGACGAAGAAGATGAAGAAGAAGATGAAGAAGACGAAGAAGATGAAGAAGAAGAAGATGAAGAAGACGAAGAAGATGAAGAAGAAGAAGATGAAGAAGACGAAGAAGATGATGATGAAGATGAAGAAGATGAAGATGAAGATGAAGATGAAGAAGATGAAGAAGACGAAGACGAAGAAGACGAAGAAGATGAAGAAGACGAAGAAGATGAAGAAGAAGATGAAGAAGACGAAGAAGATGAAGAAGAAGAAGATGAAGAAGACGAAGATGATGATGATGAAGATGAAGAAGATGAAGATGAAGATGAAGAAGATGAAGAAGATGAAGAAGACGAAGACGAAGAAGACGAAGAAGATGAAGAAGACGAAGAAGATGAAGAAGAAGATGAAGAAGACGAAGAAGATGAAGATGATGAAGATGAAGAAGATGAAGATGAAGAAGATGAAGAAGATGAAGATGAAGAAGATGAAGATGAAGATGAAGATGAAGATGAAGAAGACGAAGAAGACGAAGATGAAGAAGACGAAGAAGAAGACGAAGAAGATGAAGAAGATGAAGAAGATGAAGAAGACGAAGAAGATGAAGAAGACGAAGAAGATGAAGAAGATGAAGATGAAGATGAAGATGAAGATGATGATGAAGATGAAGAAGACGAAGATGAAGAAGACGAAGAAGATGAAGACGAAGAAGATGAAGACGAAGAAGATGAAGAAGACGAAGACGACGAAGACGAAGAAGACGAAGAAGACGAAGAAGACGAAGACGAAGAAGACGAAGACGAAGATGAAGAAGAAGATGAAGAAGAAGAAGAAGACGAAGAAGAAGAAGAAGACGAAGAAGAAGAAGACGAAGAAGAAGACGAAGAAGAAGACGAAGAAGAAGACGAAGAAGAGGACAAAGACGAAGAAGAGGACGAAGAAGAAGATGAAGAAGACGAAGAAGAAGACGAAGAAGAAGACGAAGAAGAAGACGAAGACGAAGAAGAAGACGAAGAAGAAGAAGACGAAGAAGAAGACGAAGAAGACGAAGAAGAAGACGAAGAAGAAGAAGACGAAGAAGACGAAGAAGAAGACGAAGAAGACAAAGAAGACGACAAAGACGACGACGACAACAGGAGTCCATAGGAAATGTTAGCAGAGCTCAATGCACAAATGCAATGGACAGACATAACAGAAGAACCTGAAGAAAAGCTGTTAACATTGCAGCAGCTACATGAGCAGTTCCATGCTGCTGCTAACTAGCAGACTTTTTCACTGAAGAGGATCCTGACAAATCTAGAAGCAGTGCGTTGAAACAGGGTCTAGACCAGCTGATGATACCTTACTGTCAGCTGCATAATGTATTGCAGGGTAAAATAGCCCAGAGAACCATTACAGAATTTATGCACACTCCAATACAACCATCGACCTCAGTGCCAGAACCTCTACCATCCCTTCTGTCGACAACCAACAACCATCCACCTCAGCCCAGTAGGGCCACACCATCCATATCCACTCTCTCCACAATCATCTACACACACCATTACCAACAATTTAAGGTAAGAAATACTATAATTTCTATTGCATCTGTAGTCTTAAGCAGTAATATATCAAGACAATGAACTACAATTACATGTTCACTTTTATTTTTCTAAGATCTTTTGGTCTAAAAAAAAATGTTTGGCTTTTTGAGGGCTCCCAGGAATGTAACCCTATTTTTCGCAGAAGTTCTTCAGTTCATTTAGCACGATTTTACCTAACACAGCATTTTCACGAGCGTAACTACTGTGCTAAATAACGATCTACTGTATAATAAATTTGATCTTGGTAAGAGAACTTTCTAAAACTCACCTACATAGGAGTAAAATTTGTTCATGAATTAAAATATTATATATATATACCTACCATCCGACTTACGACCGAGTTCGGTTCCGAGAAACTGGTCTTAAGTCGAAATGGTCGTAAGTCGAACTTTACTACTGAATATCAAAATAACATTATTGTAATGACTATTTTGTTGTTTTATTTTGGTATTTCGTGTTTTACTTTACTTTTTATGCTGTTAGTACTGTATTTTATACTGTAAGGTTTAGGATAAACACTGTGTACAACACAAACGCTTGTTTATTTCCCAGAAATCTGGCATAAAAAAAGCACGGTCGTAAGTCGAGCAGGTCGTAAGTCGGATGGTAGGTGTACTTCATGTTAATTTCTTTGGTATTTAAAAAGTACAAGGATGATTTCTTACATGTTCAACAAGATATCTAATCTGTGCTGGCGTTCCTCCTGATGTAGCATTAGTTATGGCCCAAGCAGCTTCTTTCCTCGTCTTAAACTCAGCCTTGCCCAAAATCTCAATGAGCACAGGGAAAATGTTGGCATCTATTACTGCTTGGATCTGTTAAAAAGTTATTTATTATTTATTACTTTTCCTTTTCTTGGACATCACATAGTTTTTAATAATGTTATAACCTTGGTAACAAAATGCTTGGTAACACGCTGGCCATTTCCCACCGAAGTAGGGTGACCCGAAAAAGAAACACTTTCACCATCATTCACACTATCACTGTCTTGCTAGAGGTGCTCAGATACAACAATTTAAACATCTCTCTAAATCTCAAATATCACAAACCCTTTTCCAGAGTGCAGGCATTGTACTTCCTATCTCCAGGACTAAGTCCAGCTAAATGGTTTCCCTGAATCCCTTCACAAAATATTACCTTGCTCACACTCCAACAGATCATCAGGTTCCAAAAATCATCCGTCTTCGCTCACTCCTACTGAACACGCTCACACATGCTTGCTGTATGTCCAAGTCCCCTTGCACACAAAACTTCCTTTACCGCCTCCCTCCATCCTTTCCTAGAATGACCCAACCCCACCTTTCCTCCACCACAGATTTATACACCCTCTAAGTCATTTTATTTTGCTCCATCCTCTCTAAATGACCAAACCACCTCAACAACCCTTCCTCAACCTTGTGGATAATACTTTTAATAACTTTGCACCTCCTCCTAATTTCCAAATTACAAATTCTCTGCATAATATTTACATCACACACTGTCCTCAGACACGCCATCTCCACTGCCTTCAACCTCCTCCTCGCTGCAACATTCTTAGCCCACACTTCACCCAAATTATATTGCCAAAAATGCTTTTGTGTGATTTTAGGCACTAATAACAGCCTGTTTTAATACACAAATAACCCGCACCTAGAAGAGAGGAGCTTACAACGACGTTTCAGTCTGACTTGGTCCAAGTTGGACCAAAACGTTGTCGTAAGCTCCTCTCGTCTATGTGCAGGTTATTTGTGTATCATTCCAGTCACGGTATTGTGCCTTTTTTTTGTTAACCTGTTTTAATTTCATTACAGCATCAGAAAAACTTCTGAATACATAACAAGCAATAACTAATAGGAAAAAGGACAATATTGTACCTCAAACACAAGCCAAATAACACAAAAGTAACAAAACTAGTATTTTTCCAAGATACAGTGGACCCCCGCATAACGATTACCTCCAAATGTGACCAATTATGTAAGTGTATTTATGTAAGTGCGTTTGTACGTGTATGTTTGGGGGTCTGAAATGGACTAATCTACTTCACAATATTTCTTATGGGAACAAATTCGGTCAGTACTGGCACCTGAACATACTTCTGGAGTGAAAAAATATCGTTAACCGGGGGTCCACTGTATATAGAAAAAAAATGGTAAATGCACATCACCTGAGCACGGTTGCCTGCAGTAATATTGGAGATGGTCCAACATGCCTCTTTCCGGATGGATTCTTTTGGGGATGACAAGAGGTGTAAGAGACAGGGCAATGCTGAACAATTGAGAATTACCTGCAAAAAAATAAAAAATAAAAAATACAAATTAGACAATACTTGGAACATACCTAATAAAGTACAGATAAGTAACAAAAAATAAATTGGAGAATTATGTTTACAATAACAATTCAGAAGATAAACTCTTTCCTAAATAGTTTCATTATCAAGAGAACACTCCACAAGACATCTCAAAGGCACCATCTACAAGTGTGGATGTTAGCAAAGAAAAAAAAATCAGCAGGATTAACCTGTAAACGGTCCAAATGTATATATACGTTTTTACCGCTAGTGCCCCAAACTTATATATACGTTTTATGTGTCCTACATTTAACATTGCCACAATAAGCCTGAATCGGCTAGACATGTGAGAATGGGTGCGAGCACTCGCTGTGCACCATATTAAAATAATTGGGGATGCCTGGGTACCATATGCTCTTTTTTCCTATTAAAAAACAACAATGTTTTTTTTCTCAAAAAAGTTGGGGCAGTACGGTAGTGAACGTATATATACGTTTGGACCGTTTACGGGTTAAAAACCCTGCACAACCAATCATGTCCAAAGAAAATTCACCACAAACTCTCATATCACAACTGTATCAAACTACACGCAATTAATTCTGCAGAATTTTCTAACCCTTTGAGGGTCAGTCCCATAGTTCTACCGCTTTGAAGCCACCCCCGGAATCCGAAAGGCAGCCTCCAGAGATACACCCGTCGCCCAAAAGATACCCAAAGCCACTCCCCGGGAGACCGGAGAGGGAGTGGGACATCCCCAGGCGATCCAGATTCCACGACTACACCACCGCCAAGAACCTCAACGGAATGGGATGGACCCCAGTACCCTTTCCTCTACCCAGGAACTAGCGTGCCTGTGAAAAAAAAAAAAAAAAAAAAAAAAGAAGAAGAGGAAGGGTAATAGGGAGGGGGTGGGGAGGAGGAGGAGGAAAAGAAAAAGTAAGGATGGGATAAGGGAGGGGGGATTGGGGGGTTAATTAGGTTTGATCTGAGGAAGGAGACCAACAGGTCTAATTCCTCAGACCAAAAGCCTCTTCACCACGCCAAGGAGCCCCCCTTGAAGAGGTGCATTATTGTAATAACTGTATAAATAATGTCGACCCATTCATGATCACACATTAGACAGGCCAGTTGGACACATGGGCAGTGGCGTGATTTGTTTATTCTTGAACATTGGCAAAAATCGAACATTTAACCCTTTGACTGTTTTGGTCGTATACATACGTCTTACGAGGTACCATGTTTGACGTATACAGTGGACCCCCACATACCGTATGCATCGCATACCGTACAATCCGCATACCGCTCGCTTTTTTCGCAAAAATTTTGCCTCGCATACCGCCCAAAAACCCGCTCACCGCTCTTCGTCCAAGACGCGTCCAATGTGCGCCCTTAGCCAGCCTCACATGTTCCGCCGGTGGCATTGTTTACCAGCCAGCCTCCGCGGTAACATCCAAGCATACAATCGGAACATTTCGTATTATTACAGTGCTTTTGGTGATTTTTTCTGGAAAATAAGTGACCATGGGCCCCAAGAAAGCTTCTAGTGCCAACCCTACAGCAATAAGGGTGAGAATTACTATAGAGATGAAGATAAAGATCATTGATAAGTATGAAAGTGGAGTGCGTGTCTCCAAGCTGGCCAGGTTGTATAATAAACCCCAATCAACCATCGCTACTATTGGTGGTACAGCTGCTGCTGCTGCTGTACCACCGTCAGCTGCTGCTGCTGCTGTACCACCGTCAGCTGCTGCTGCACTGTCAGCTGCTGCTGCTGCTGCTGCTGCTGCTGCAGCATTGTCTGCTGCTGCTGTAGCATCGTCTGCTGCTGCTGCTGCTGTACCACAGTCTGCTGCTGCTGTAGCATCGTCTGCTGCTGCTGTACCACCGTCTGCTGCTGCTGTAGCATCGTCTGCTGCTGCTGTAGCATCGTCTGCTGCTGCTGTAGCATCGTCTGCTGCTGCTGTAGCATCGTCTGCTGCTGCTGCTGCTGTACCACCGTCTGCTGCTGCTGTAGCATCGTCTGCTGCTGCTGTAGCATCGTCTGCTGTGCTGTACACCGTTCTGCTGTAGCACCGTTGTTGGTGTGGCTTATTGAGAATACCAAGAAACAATTAACCCCAGAGGATTTGCCACCCAGGATAACCCAAAAAAGTCAGTGTCATCTAACTTATTTCCATTGGGGTCCTTAATCTTGTCTCCCAGGATGCAACCCACACCAGTCGACTAACACCCAGGTGAACAGGGAAAAATGCCTGGAACTAGTGCTCATATTGGTGAATTTAAAGCCAGCAAATGTTGGTTTGAGAGATTTAAGAATCGTAGTGGCATACAGTGTGATAAGGCATGTTCTGGAAGAAAATCCCAAACAGGACCTACAGTACTCAGGAGGAAAAGGCACTCCCAGGACACAGTGTCTCATCAGTCATTGCTGCATCTTCAATAAGGTAAGTGTCATTTATTCTTCATTTAGTAGAGTAGTACATGCACAATATATATTGTGCATGTACTACCATACTATCGTGCATGTATCCTTCTCTTTGTGTGTAGGAAAATGTATATTTCATGTGGTAAAAAAATTTTTTCATACTTTTGGGTGTCTTGCACGGATTAATTTGATTTCCATTATTTCTTATGGGGAAAACTCATTCGCATACCGACCATTTCGCATAACAATCAGCCCTCTTGCACGGATTAAAGTCGCTATGCGGGGGTCCACTGTATATACAGATTACCTCACTTTTTACAGTGATCCGCTTACTTTTAACAGTAATTCAACAACTGGAACTGGATGCATGACAACAAGAAGTGTTAAAAATACATCAGTTGAAGCAAGTCCTTAATTGATAAGTTTCACTCATAAGTGAGCTTTTTCAAGCACATACTTAGTTCATTAAAAATAATTAAGGTGCAGCTTGTACTCTAGCAGTATTTTGTACAAACTTGAAGTCCACCCATGGGCAAAACATTTTACCAATAAAGGACTACTGCAACCAATATCCTTTTTACCACTCTTACAAGTGGTGTAAATATTGGTAACACATCATAGTGAGAATGTGCAAATAACAAAGTTGTGTGATGGCAGGTTAATGAATGCAGACAGTTATAGTCCCTCCATAGCACCAGTTGGCTGACTCCCACAACACTTACATATTTGCCTTAAGTCCCATATTTACCAGATAATGCAAAGTACTATTTACCTTTCATTTGGCTGTTTAACAAACCAAGAAAGAATATATGGGCAACCCCTTCACTTATATCAACATAGCAGTCAGCATTCACTGCCTCATTCAACTGCTGACTCTGGTTTTGACCACACATTGTGAGCCAAGTTCAATCTTACTCTTTCGTTAAGCACAATTGGCCCCTTGGGCATAGTTCATGCAAAGTAAAGTTGTACAAACAATTCAGATTTGTTATGGAGAGTTGGAAAAAGAAATATCTCATTGCTAAAAGCCAGATTCAACGTCTTAAACATCTCTAATTTCTTACAGCTATACTGTATATTTCTTGTTTATTACTTTTTCAAATGTGTTAATCTTTGGTACGTATATGATTGCTGGTGTTGGTGTAGCAAGTTCCTACTTGTTTGGTATAAATTGGTAAAGAAATTCAGAAACAATTTACTGAATAATGTTCACAGTGACGGTCCAGTTGACAGTGCTTTCCACATTTTATTATTTTTGGTAAATGTAAGTTTGCTGAAACAGTAATGAGTATACTATTAATTTAGTATAATTTATTCAATAAATATGAATTGTTATTATGATTGTGATGTCAGCCACAGCACCGTGTCTTCCTTTGCAGATGACACCCGAATCTGCATGACAGTGTCTTCCATTGCAGACACTGCAAGGCTCCAGGCGGACATCAACCAAATCTTTCAGTGGGCTGCAGAAAACAATATGAAGTTCAACAATGAGAAATTTCAATTACTCCAATATGGTAAACATGAGGAAATTAAAACTTCATCAGAGTACAAAACAAATTCCTTCCACAAAATAGAGCGAAAAACCAACGTCAAACACCTGGGAGTGATCATGTCGGAGGATCTCGCCTTCAAGGACCATAACATTGTATCAATAGCATCTGCCAGAAAAATGACAGGATGGGTAACGAGAACCTTCAAAACTAGGGATGCCAAGCCCATGATGACATTCTTCAGGTCACTTGTTCTATCTAGGCTGGAATATTGCTGCATACTAACAGCACCTTTCAAGGCAGGTGAAATTGCTGACCTAGAAAATGTACAGAGAACCTTCACAGCGCGCATAACGGAGATAAAACACCTCAATTACTGGGGGCGCTTGAAGTTCCTGAACCTGTACTCCT